AATTCATATGTTATTCACTTGTGATTTACATGTGAATCACATGTAATTGATATGTGATTCACTTTTTATTTACTTGTGAATTACATGTGATTAATATGTGAATTACATGTGAATCACATGTAATTCATATGTGATTCACTTGTGAATCACATGTAATTCATATGTGATTCACTTGTGAATCACATGTAATTCATATGTGATTCACTGTGATTTACATGTGAATCACAAGTAAATCATATGTGAATTACATGTGAACCACATGTAATTCATATGTGAATTACATGTTATTTACATGTGAATCACATGTAATTCATATGTGATTTACATGTGAATCACAAGTAATTCATAAGTGAATTACATGTGAATCACATGTAATTCATATGTGATTCACTTGTGATTTACATGTGAATCACATGTAATTAACATGTAATTCATATGTGATTCGTTTATGATTCGCGTGTAATTCATATGTGCTTCACTTGTGATTTACATGTGAATTACAAGTGATTCATATGTGAATTACATGTGAATCACATGTCATTCATATGCGATTCACTTGTGATATACATGTGAATCACATGTGATTCACTTGTGATTTACATGTGAATCGCATGTAATTCAAATGCTCAAAAATTGTTATGTTTTGAACAAAAAGAATTCAAGTATTTATTCTATTATTTTTGACTTTTTTTTGTTAGATGCTTTAAAGAACATCATAAAGTAAATAGAAAGAACAAACCTTTAATATACTAGAAAGTCCATGCAAAAAGCTCCAATCAGGAATAGTTAGCCCCCTTCCTATGTCATAAAGAGAAAATGGTTATTCCATGATAGAAGAAAACTATTACCAAGTGTTTTTCTTGAATGTATTGTTTTTTTAGCTTTTGTAAGTAACATTGCAAAATATGGGTGCTACATGTCCTCCTAACGCTCCACCTTTAGTTCTCGGGTTCTCGGAAAACTTTGAGTTTTCAAATGATCATTCCTCTATATATATATATATATATATATATATATATATATATATATATATATATATATAGAGGAACCCTAACAACCATTTTTTAAATGTTTTCATTAAAGGCATTTTAGACAAATCCAATATTTATATTGTATTAAACAAACTTTTCCTAGTTTACAAACTACTTGACACGTGTCGTCGGACCACCGTCGGACCGTCGTTAGACTGCCGCCGAACTAATACTAAATTCAATGGCATTTTTATGGTCCTGTTCATAGCTTAATAGAACCAACATTGTAGCTTCTATTTCTTTCATCACAATTTTTATTTTTCCAACCAAAATATACAAAAGTTTAGTAAAAAAAATAGAATTGTGTCTTGAAAAAAATCAATTTTCTTTTTTCCTAAATTGTAGATTGCTTTAAAGAAATATATTGTAGATAAGAAATATTCACAGTTGAATAAACATAATAATACACTAATACACATTTTAATATTTTCATGCATACTTATTCATATTGTAACACAAAATTTATATAAAATATACAACTTAATATAATCAATTTTTAGTTTAATACATAAAATTCACAGCATAACATAATACAATACATTATATACTAATTAACATATTTAAAGAAGTCAAACTCAAAGTCTCACACCAACACCACGACCAACTACATGCGCTACCAACAACCACGTATGCCACCTCGCAATCATCATTCCTTCTAAATCAAATTTGTATATAAAATCATTGATTGGAAAGCTTAGATACTATATTCACAATTTAACAAACCAAATATTTCACTTATTTACAGTTTAATGCAAAATAATTTTAAAAACAAATACATTCTTACATATTTAAATAGCGCAAAATGTAAATATATTCACAAGAAAATTAATACAAATATTCATACATAAATCATTCATATTTTAACACGAAACTCATTAAAAATTCACATCTTAATACAATCAATTGATATTTCAGTGCACAAAATTCACACGTTAATATAATAAATTTACAATTTAATGCACAAATTAAACATTCAAAGCCATATTCTCAACTTAAACTTACATGTATATCTTTAGATCTATAAGCTATTGCTTCTTTCAATGTTTATATACACAAATATTCACATATTATTTTTTACATACTTTATTCAAAATTAGATAAAATCATATTTGTATATAATGCTTCTTCATCTTATATTTCATAAGCAAACAAAAAATTTATATAAAAAAATCATAGCTTAATACAACCCAATTCACAATTTATTACACAAAATTCACAGCTTAATATAGTCAATTCACAGTTTAAACAGAAAGTCACAGCTTAATACGGTCAATTTACAGTTTAAAGCACAAAAATCACAGCTTAATACACAAAATTCACAGCTTAGTTATGTAATAAATTCACAACTAACAAACTTTAATCCAATGAAATAGAATTACAAATCGGAAAACATTTATCAAGTCATCACAAAACAATCGATACACAGATACAGATACATCGAGGTAAAGTATCTCACACCTGATTAAATCTGGTATGAAGAGTGGACTGACTTCGTCACATATGGAAGAGGGAGTAGAACTCCTTGGGAGCCTCAATGGTGACAAACGTCGTTGATGCCTTGAACCCCAGCCACATCACACCTTCATCTTTTTGATGATCGAAGATAATCAAGCCTGGATCGTTTGAGGATTTATCGATTGATGACAACTGGATCGATTGGATCTGGATTTGGAGGCGGTAATGAGACGAGATTTTGAACGATGAATAATCCTCAGATTTGGAATGCGATGGTGTTAATTTTGGGGGAAACCGAATCGATGAAGGCTCTAGCGTTGAGTTGGAGAAGAAGATCGATGAGCAGAAGTATTGGAGAAGAACATCATCGGGAGAAAGAGCACAGATCGTGCATTTTAGAGAGAGAGAGAGAGAGAGAGAGAGAGAGAGAGGGGGGTTGCAAGTTTACTGTATCAAAAGTTTGGATTCGATTTAACAATATTATTGTTTCCTATAATGCCCTGGTCTTATTTAATTAACATACCCCCTTCTCTTTAATTTTCTAATTATTTACAAAAACGCCACCTTCCATCTTGACCTTTCTTTTTTTGATCTAACGCTCCACCTTTAGTTCTCGGGTTCTCGGAAAACTTTGAGTTCTCAAATGATCATTCCTCTATATATATATAGAGGAACCCTAACAACCATTTTTTAAATGTTTTCATTAAAGGCATTTTAGACAAATCCAATATTTATATTGTATTAAACAAACTTTTCCTAGTTTACAAACTACTTGACACGTGTCGTCAGACCACCGCCGGACCGTCGTTAGACTGCCGCCGAACTAATATTAAATTCAATGACATTTTTATGGTCCTGTTCATAGCTTAATAGAACAAACATTGTAGCTTCTATTTCTTTCGTCACAATTTTTATTTTTCCAACCAAAATATACAAAAGTTTAGTAAAAAAAAAAAGAATTGTGTCTTGAAAAAAATCAATTTTCTTTTTTCCTAAATTGTAGATTGCTTTAAAGAAATATATTGTATATAAGAAATATTCACAGTTGAATAAACATAATAATACACTAATACACATTTTAATATTTTCATGCATACTTATTCATATTGTAACACAAAATTTATATAAAATATACAACTTAATATAATCAATTTTTAGTTTAATACATAAAATTCACTTAATATAATCAATTTTTAGTTGAATACATAAAATTCACAGCATAACATAATACAATACATTATATACTAATTAACATATTTAAAGAAGTCAAACTCAAAGTCTCACACCAACACCACGACCAACTACATGCGCCACCAACAACCACGTATGCCACCTCGCAATCATCATTCCTTCTAAATCAAGAAAATTAATACAAATATTTATATAGCGCAAAATGTAAATATATTCACAAGAAAATTAATACAAATATTCATACATAAATCATTCATATTTTAACACGAAACTCATTAAAAATTCACATCTTAATACAATCAATTGATATTTCAGTGCACAAAATTCACACGTTAATATAATAAATTGTAGCTATTGCTTCTTTCAAAGTTTATATACACAAATATTCACATATTATTTTTTACATACTTTATTCAAAATTAGATAAAATCATATTTGTATATATAATGCTTCTTCATCTTATATTTCATAAGCAAACAAAAAATTTATATAAAAAAATCATAGCTTAATACAACCAATTCACAATTTATTACACAAAATTCACAGCTTAATATAGTCAATTCACAGTTTAAACAGAAAGTCACAGCTTAATACGGTCAATTTACAGTTTAAAGCACAAAAATCACAGCTTAATACACAAAATTCACAGCTTAGTTATGTAATAAATTCAAAGTTTAATACACAATAATTATGTATTCACAACCATATTATCAACTTAAAACTCTTAATACAGTCAATTCATAATTTAATACACAAAATTCACAGCTTAATTCAAAAAATTGATAGTTTAATACATAAAATTTATAACTTAATATAGTCAATTCACAGTTTAAAACAGAAAATTCTCAGCTTAATATAGTAAAATCACAGTTTAAATAGAAAAATTAATTCGCAGCTTAATATAGTCAAATCACAGTTTAAACAGACAAATCACAACTTAATGTAGTTAACTCAATTTATAACACAAATATCCCAATTTAAATGTAACATTAACATAATTAAACAATTAGAAACATGAGAACATCCCAATTCACAGCTTAAACTACTTAGATTCATATTATTTTGAGAAAACATAACATTCACAGCTTAACAAAAGAAAAACAATCAAATCAAAAATCGACATACCTGATGTAGATTTGGTGGTGTTTCAGTAAGGATTAGAGAGAAAGAGATGGAAGTGAGTTGCACGGGAGTGGCAAGGAAGCAACGGTGGTCGCGGTTGACGACGATCTTAGATCTGGTCCGTCAATCTTGTCAAAAATCATAGATTTAAAGGAAAAAATCATAGATTTATCGTCAGAGATCATAAATCCATCACCGGCGATGACAGATCTGGACCGAACCACTTCAGATCTGATGAAAACGAAGGATTTTAAAGGTCGACGACATGCAACGGTGGTTGGTAGAGGAGCTGCTCGACTAGATCTAAACAGATGTGGTGGTGTTTCACGGAGATTGAGAGAAAAAAGATCGAGACAAGAGAGATGTGTCACCGGAGCAAGATCTGGTCACTCAATATCACCAGAAGGTAGATCTAGAGGTGTAAATCATAGATTTCTAGGCGAAAATCATAGACCCGTCGTCAAAGATCATAGATCTACCGTTGGAGATCATAGATCTATAATGAATCACGACAAATCTGATGAAAACGAAAGCTTTTAGAGGTCGAAGACACGTATCAACGGTAGGTGGAGGTGGTGGTTGACCAGATCTGAACAAATCTGATGGTGTTTCATGGAGATCGAGAAAAAAAGTAGGCAGATGGAGATGTGTAACTGAAGCAACGTCATAAAAGTGGTTTTGTTACGGTGACAGATGTTGCTTCCGGACGAAAGTAGTTGGTGGCGGCACCGGAGGTAGTTAGTGGCGGTGGAAAGTCACCAGAGGTAAGAGGGAGAAGAAGACATGTTTGGTGAGAGAAAGGAAGAATAAGGTTTTCTAGATCTAATGTTTTGATCTGGTATTTTCAAGTTTCAAATGAAATAATGTGTTTGTGACAAAAATGCCCTTTATAAGATTTATAAAACATCTAACTAAGAAATGGGATATTATAAGCTAAAATTAGAGGTTATTAGAGTTCTTAATATTTTTTGGTTCTCATTTGAACTTTTACATATATATATATATATATATATATATATTATATATATTATAATATAATATATATATATCTTTTCTTTTTATTCTAATAAAAGAATAGGTTTATTCTCCTTTTGTCATGTGTCACCCTATTAGGTCTCCTAATTAATATCATGCCACTTGTGAACCTATTGATTCTCCATTTCAAATTTCAAATTTTAAATTTCTACTCTAATTAAAACTTTCTTCTTTATTTTATATATTAATAACATTAGAATAAAAATTAAAATAAAATTAATACAGATTATAAGGTTACATATTTAGTTAAATCAACAATTATAACTTTATATAACTAAAAAAAATATATCTCTTAATTAATAATTTATTTAAAACAATTAATTAATAGATTTGAATTCTTACTATAAAAATTTAATTAATTTTGTAACTGTGGTTCCCACGGGTTATAAACTAGTAGTCTAATAAATGAAGGTTTTTTTTTGCCACTTGTGACACTCTCATTCAATTTGGCAAATGTCATTTTGTGGTTATTTTGAATTAAATTTTTTTCCACATATCATTTTATGAGTTTTTTTATTATTTTATTAAATTCTATCTAATATTTTAATGTAATAATTGCAATAAAAGTAGTAATAAATACATATCAATTTCATTAATAAACTTACATTTTAATTTTAAAATTCTCAAAATTAAAGCTTATTAATTTCTTTTGTTTATTTATTTAAATTATTTGTTTAAATTTAAAAGATAAAAAACATTTCCATTATAATAATTAATTGTTTTTTCTTATTTTCTTATAAATTCAAAGTTCTCAAATATTTAGACCTTTATATTTAACTTTTTTTTTAAATTAACTCATATAATACATGGGTGTCACAACTAGTATATATATAATCATAAACTTCGATCAGTGCAAACTTACTAACAAAATTTTAATGTGAATTTCATAAGTACTAAAAATTACAAGTTAAATAAATCATTTGATTGATGTTGCAAGGAAAAACAAAACGAATAATATGTTCAAAGACAATGAGGTCATTACATGTGGATTTTTGAAATGGTACATAGCAAACAATAAGCTTTCTTACATGTAAATGTTTTATGTTAAATGTTTTGATGTTGAAATCTTTGGGGTGCATTTTGTTGTGGAAAATTTTCCAGATTTTCAAGAATGTTTACCAAGTAAAACAGAAATTTTGAAAACGCATTTGGTTTTTTCAGTTTTCCAAAGTTTTCTAAGAAAATGAAAATTTTCATTTTTCCAAATTATATGTAAATTATAGAAAAATGATTTTTATAGTTTTCCAAAGTTTTCAAAGTTTCTAAGATGGAAAATGAAAACTTCATCGGTTCCAATCAAATGCATTTTCTAAAATTTTCATTGCAAACTAAAAATGAAAACTCAACTGTATTTTCTAAAAATATTTTTTTGGAAAATGAAAGCAGTTTTCTACAACCAAACGCACCCTTGATGTTCTTATGTGAATTGTTTTGAAGAGTATTTCTAGTAGTTTTATTATGAAAATTTTAGCATGTCATATTCATTAATTGATTTTTATTTATTCATGATTTGAGTTTTATATGTTATATTATGAGTGCGCTTATGGTTATGAAAGGTCTAGACATGTAACCTTAATGGGATTGATGAAACACTACTGGAATGACACCTCCTGTCACAAAGTAGTTGTCAATGAGCATAGACTTCTCATTGACCACAACGAAATTAGCTCTCTCATGGCTAGTAATGAGTTTGTTGCGAACCAACGAGGGGTATAGACTCCCCATATTTACGGGTAATCCGTAAAGTTGATGATATTGAATGTTTTATGATTTTTTAAAGTTTTTGAAAAGTTTTGAAAAGTATGGTTGATTTATCTTTTTTGGTCTAAAGACATAGTGGTATTATTAATCCTTGGTTGGACGAGATGAATGCTGGCAACGTTGGTATGTTACACCGAGTAGACTAGGACATACTATCATTCTTGTATGTTTTGAATGTTTTTGATTGATGTGGTTATGATTCTTTATGAAAGTTTTCGATTTAAATATTTTTTGAGCTTATATCTTGTTGGGTTTAACCTCATGAATCTCATGAGACTTTCGTCTTACATATTTGTTTTAAAATGTGTTATGTATTTAGGTTTGTAAGTTAATGATATAAAAAATATCATCAGTTAAGACTTTTGGAAGACTTATCATAGTTTTTTGGTTGTATAATTCTTTCCATTTTTAGTATGATTGTGTTATTATTTTTGTAACACTAATTATTTATAATTATGATAAACTTTTAAATGTTTTTATAAAACCATATTTTTGGAACACGAGTCAATGTCATGTTATATGTACGACCATAGTATTTAAAAGACTTTGAAAAATATTGGTCCACATTTAATGCAATAGAGACGATAAAATCCAGATCAGCCGCATCACAAATATATATATATATATATATATATATATATATATATATATATATATATATATATATATATAGATATATATATATATAGTGTATCCGTACAATGTTGTGGAACACAAATTATATTGTTATGATATTAGTGGTTGCATATCAAATACCTAAATATGACCGCATTTTAATAAACAAGTTTTTTTTTTTTTTTTTTTTTTTTTTTTTAAATTGGACTTTGTCAAATATCTTATTGTTTATCTTGCATAGGCACCGATTGCAAATTGACAAATAGTTTTATATGAATTGTTCCCACAACAAACAAGCTTAAAAATCAAATAGAGAATATTCAAAAAAACAAAGTTACATTTAATATTAAGATTACAAAATATATTTTATTTTGCTAAAATAATCTCAAACTTTTTTTTTGAAGGTTTTCTTAAACCATTCATCAATAAAAATAATTATGTAATTACTAAAATTTCATAATTTATTAAGTGAAGACACATTGTCTTTTTTTTTTCTTTTATGATTATCCATTAAATAAAAGGTTAGTACATGTTTGAGTGGAAACAAATAATGAGAATTAATTAAATTGGATTTGTCATTGCCAATATTTATTTCTTATTATTATTATTATTATTATTATTATTATTATTTTGCAGCGGAACCATTGGGTTTTTAGTTGAAAATTCTTATATGACATGTCAGGTTGGGGAGCTTATTTTTACACAAAATTTTTGTTTCGTACGCAACAAGTTATGCTTTAAAATATTGTATTGTACAACACTATAAAACACAAATTATTGTTTATAGAGAAAAAACATTTTGCACAAATCACTTCCCATCAGGTTGGATAACATCCTCAAAAAACAAATCTTTTAGCTAGATATTAAAGTAGATAACAATTTATGCTTTAAAATGTTGTATTTTATAAAACTATAAAGCACAAATTATTGTTTATAGAGAAAAAATATTTTGTACAAATCACTTCCCATCAGGTTGGATAACATCCTCAACAAAACAAATCTTTTGGCTAGACATTAAAGTAGAGTCGATTTTGTGTTTGTCTTGCTTTTCCTTTGTTGAGACAGTTGCCCACGTTTTTTTTCAGATTGTTCCATTTAGATAGACTTAGACTTGTCAATGGGGCGGGTTTGGAGCAAATCACGCTTGATCCAAACCCATTAAAATTTTAAAAAACATGATCCACCTCGATCCAATAACCCTCAGGGTTTTGAATAATCAATTCTATACCCGTATCCACTGAATCAACGAATACCCAACCCTTTTACAAAGTTAAAATTTCACAATTTGATGTTTGCCATATAGTAATATTTATCAAAAAAGGATAAAATGTCTACTTAAAAAATGTACATTACTAACAGGGTTGACTTTATATTTAGATGAACAAAGTTAGGGCTTAGGACCCCCACTTCTAGAGGGCCCCACTTAACGTAAACACTCAATACAGTCCAATGTCTAATTGTCCATATTAGCTTAATCCTTGTCTCGCCTTGCACACGCCTGAAAAATTCGATTCATCAGTTCTTCTTCTACAAGCGACGATCACACTTCTAATCTTCTTCTTCTTAGGGGCGGCTCAAAGAGCGGACTCTAATTAATGATTCAGAAATCAGAACCGCTGAAATATAACATAACCTTCTTTTCTTCTTATTCCTTCTTCATTCTCAGATTCTGATTAACTGCTAACTTCACTTCATTGTTCAAAAATTTCTGATGATTCTTGATTAAAGGTTGTCATTGAAAACGATATGTTCAATTTTGTCACTTTTTGTTTTATTTTTCCATTATTTGTCATCTAAATCTCAGAATCTGATTATGTAATTAGGGTGTGTCACTGTCACACTATGTTGCTGAAATTGCTTTTGGAATCGAGCATGCATATAATCTGAGATATCAGATATGATTATCTAATTAGGGTTAATAGTTAAACTGTTAAAGCTTATTAGGGTTAATATTTTTCAGTTTTTATTTTTCAGTTGTCTCATTTTTTATTCTATTCTTCATTGATTAAAACAAAGTATAGAATATATGAATCAGGTTGGAACGAATTTCAAATTTTGATTTTTCAGATTTCAGTTTTCCAGATTTGAGCATTCCATTATCTTCTAAAGTTCTGTTATCAAATCTTAAG